GTGAGGAAGGTGGTTTCAGCACCACATGGGATGGATTTTAGAAGGGCCTCTGGTTCCCAGCACCCTTGGCATCGTTTCTCTTTGAGAACAGTGACTGAGCAGAACGTGGTGTCCAAAGCCGTACCAAGGTGATAACTTTTGTCCTGGGCACCCCAGCAACAGCGAACTGCTATCTTCCCTCAGCTGGTGGGAAGGGAAGGCAGGAATGCATGAACATGACCGTGTTCTTTCTGTGTGGTGTTTCGGCTCTCTTTGGGATGAGTTCAGGACACAGCGTTCCTGAGAAATTGGGGGTGGGTGGGTTGAGGAGCCTCAAGAAGGGATTACTGAACTCTCTGCTAACAGGGCCTAAGAAAGTTCGCGTAATTAATTTGAAAAATAAAAGAAATATGATCATATTTGTGCCATAAGTTGATTAGGCAGGTTGTACCATTTCTTCACATAGGTAGCAATAAATATATAGTTTTTGTTTGAATATTCTTTGTTCCCCCAAATTTCTTCTTTAAGTGTGTGTGTGTGTGTATATATATTTAAATCAAATACATCGTTTCCTTTTCTAAACCATTATAGAGTTTAACATAGAATTTTACAGTTTCTTTTAGCGAGAAAGAAATACCACTCATTTTCAAGTTTGCTTCAACTGTCACTATGTTCCCAACCCTCATTTATACATTTGAGCTTTATACATGTACACACACACACACACACACACACACACACACACACACACATACTCGGTGTATTCAGCCATCACCAGGGCAGTGTTTATTTCTTAAAATAAATGAATTAGGAAAAAGTGCCAATTGCCCTTTCACACAGGATATAATTCAGACTATGCTTTTTACTGGAGAAGATACAGGAATCCTGTTTCTGAAATGTGCCTGTAAGGCTGCTTCCCACAGAACTGTGCATGTCCTGCTTGGCTCACTTGGTGGGGGGGGGGTGTCCTAGTTATAAATACATATGTTTAAAAATGTACCACCCTCACCCCAGGAGATACATGATAGATAAATTTTTTTTCCCCACTAGTGGAAACAACTATTTACCATTCTTTGAGTATCTGGGTCTCCTTCTTGCTTTTCCTCTTTTGAATGGTGAGAGAGAGAGAAAGAGAGAGAGAGAGAGAGAGAACAAATATGAATTTTTGACTCCTAGCCCTCTTAAAACTGCTGACCCCTCAGAAGGGTCCCATCTCTTGTGGCAAATAGCCATGATAGCTCTGAATAAAAGGTCCAGTAGAAAGAACAGCTGTTAGCCCGATGACTCCAAGCACTTGCCAGCCAGGTGCTTACTTCCAGCAGAAAAGCAGGGTGAGGAGGAGGTAGGAGAGGCAGGCGTGGGGTGCGGGGGGGAGTGCTGTGGCCGGCCAGGGCTGGAGAGCTGTGCTCCCCAGGTCCTTCCCACCTGCAGAGTGTTCAGAGTCCACGTGCACGCCAGGATCTCCATCCCAACTACACTTCCCATTGTCGCCCAGATAGGTCTGACCATTAAAAAACATGACTCGAGGGAGAGAAGGTGATATCCCAGAAGGCTTAACTACCTTTGGGAGCTCAGACTCTTCAAGTTATCTTGTTTTAGTAGAATCCTAGGTGGCAAGTGTTGAACTAAGGGGAAATCATTTAACAAAGGCAAAGCAGAAACTGGTCAAAGGGTGCTCTAGAGAGGAGTAGTGGTGGGGAGGGGATAAAGGGCAAGGTTTGCCCTCTGCTTTTCTAGAATGTTCTCCTTTCCCCAGTTTCACAGCACTAAGTTGGCCTTAGCCCACCACTTGTCCTAGTGGTCAGGACTCTTGTATCTGCCCTCTGTACGTCCCAGAGCTGCGTATTCTGAGGCCTCCCCAAGGCTTTAAAAAAAACAAAACAAAACAAAAACCAGCCGCTGCATCTTTAATGACCAAATTAAAGAGAAAAGATACTTTGTTGCTGTTGAATACATACTGTATTTAACTTTTTTTAATCCCAGAGAAGTGAAATGCAACATCTGTTTGAGTTTATGTAACATCCAAAGACTGACGACTCAGAATTTCCTAATTAAAGTCATTTTTAAGGCACTCTGCAGAGCCAGCTTTCGTCTCTTCCTTGGGTGGCTTTTTCTCCAAACTGCAGCAGAATACCTGGTTTCTCTTTCTTCCAAGAGATACACACATGCTCATGCTTTTCACCTGCTCTTTGTCCAGACAACACCGAAAAACAGCACAATTCCAAACGGGAAACAGTGAAGGAAGGAAATACATCTGTTGGAGGGCATGGGGGGAGGGGGGCACAGAGAGGACACTTTTGAGTAAATTAACTGATGGGGTGGTAGCAGAAAAGAGAAGGAGCCGAAGGGAAATGGAACAGGGTGGGGTGGGCCAGGTGGCTGGCAGCCAGTGAAATACAGGCTACATTTCCCAGTGAGGTTTAAATTAATTTAGCTGTTCCTTCTTCTTTTTCTTCTTCTTCTTCTTTTTTTCTTTTTTCATTTGTAAAGTTCGGGCCAGTATAAGGGAGGAGTGTCCACATTCTGGAAAGTGTACATAGGTAAGTGTGCTTGCTTGTGCTCATGTACTTATGAAGGGTTGATCTTAGAGATAAGTATGGCTGGGGGAGGGCTCTAAAAAGCTCCCCTGATAAAAAATAATCTCCCTTACTGGCCCACTGCTGTGCCTGAGATACCCACCATTAGAGCCACTCCTTCGGATTAAGGCATTATCTGTAGCCCCAATTAAAACATGAATGTCACCTGGGAGGGGTAACCCTCAACTCTTTAGCACCCACTGACTGAACTGTCTGTCACCTATCAGAGAGTAGGACCCTGAGAGATGGGACATAGGGCAGGGACATTCTGACTAATGGGGAAAGAAGGCTTGGTGGTATGGAATGCAGGAGGGGACAGGCTGGGCAATGGAGGATGTGTGTGAACTAGTACTAGCCCCAGGAAATTACTCAGATGAGGGAGATCAAGTACTAAAAAAACCTCTTCCCACATCCCAGGTTTCCCTGGACTCTGTGTATGTGTGTGTGTGTGTGTGTGTGTGTGTGTGTAACAGTTTTGTATATATTACAACATTCTTGTGTATATATCTAATATGGAATTCACCTAGGCCCATTTAGGAACATGGTACATCTCTATGGATCTCGATGGTTTGTATGCAGCTGATGCACATCACACACATACACACATTCATACATGCATTTACTCACACTCAGTGGAAATCTTGTAAAGTGTGAAGGGGGAGATGTCTCTTCTCAGCCATTTGGGATTTGGATGCTTCACAACTGTTGGGGAATGAACTGGCTTGGGGTAATGAGACTCCTTCCTCTGTTACCAGTCGACCCTCATTCAATTCAGGTGGCTCTGCAGAAATAGCCAAGCCTTGGGTTATCAAGACTCAGCACGGGCCTTCCCATCAGGATTGGGATTTGGAGACATAAATGTCACCCAAGTGCCCTTTAAACCTTTGGAGCTGGGGAGTCTGGGGCAGATGGAAAGAGAATCTGGTGGGGAGTGGGTTTCTATTCCTAGAAAAGCTGGACACCGTTTGAGAGCCCCCGGGCTGGGTGTAGGCACCAGCCTCGGGGTGCAGAATGGTGGGACCTGCCAACTCTCCAGGGATCCACTCAGGTTGGTTGACCTGATGGGTAAGGTTGAGTGAGGAGGAGGGGCTGGAGAAATGGGAAGAGAGTCCTCATTCCCCAGTGGCCACTCCCATTCTTGGCAAGGCAGAAAGCTCCGGAAATAGAGGATGAAGGATGTGATGGGTGGGAGGGATGAAGGGAAAAAACACTAGAAGTGCTTCTCAACCCTAGCCTCACATTAGGATCATCTGGGGGTACTTTTAAAAACACCCATGCCCAGGCTCTATCCCCAGATTCTGCTGTAATGAGTTGGAGAGGGGACCAGGTATGGATGGTTTTTAAGCTCCTCAGGCATCTCTGATGTGCATGTGGCCTTCAGAAGGTGGCACCAGAGCAGAAGGAAAAATCTAGATCCGAGGTGGCCAGGCTGCAGCTGACTGCCCCCCGCCACGCGCGCACACAGAGCAGGGGAGGGGTTATGCTGTGACGGGGAGGAGAGGGCGGGATGCTGGGACCTTCTACTTGGACAGTTGACCCTTCTCTCTGCTGATTTGTATGGCTTTATCGTCTCACTAGAGCTGGTGGTTTCTAACCCCACTTCTGGCTGAAAATCTGGTTGGGGTGGAAGTATTTGGGCAGAGAGAGAGAAATCCCCCCTCTGTTTTTTCTGTGGCTTCAGAGAGGAGTCACTCACTGTGCTCTACGGGGCCAAGAAGACAGATTCTGGGGCTGGACGCCTCAAAGATGGGAGTGGGTTTTCTGCTGTATAATAAATACATATTTCATAAATGAATCAACCAGTAAGGAAGCCAACCAATAAACCAATAAATAAAATAATGCACACCAGTTTTGCCCTCTTAGGGTGGCCCTCCCCTCCCCCCATCAATCCTGCTGACATACACTTTGCCCTTGGTCACCTGAAGACACCCAGCCTGGTCATGCCAGGGAAGCAGGACTGCTTTGGCTCTAGCTCCAAGGATCAGAGAAATCTCAAGAGAGTATCCACGTTGGCCCCCCATGTGGAGAAGGGAGGAAAAGGGGAGATATGCATTCCCGCTGTTTCAGACCCAAAAGCGTAGGGAGGGAAGGCAAGAGTTTGGCAACCAAGGCTGGGCCATGTTAGGTATCTGAAGTCCAGGCTGACCAGCTCTTCCTCCCTGGGCAGCTTCACTTTAGAGGGTCGGGGATGGACTTGAGATCTGGATGGACCCAATCTTTCCACACAAAAAGATACAGCAGACACAGCTCCCACTTCAGCACAGCCTGCCAAGGGCCGAGCCCAGCCCAGCCCAGCCAGTCCATGGGGAGTGCTGCATGACCCGTGCTTTGGTAGGAGGGGTACAGCTCACGGGATGGGAGGATGGCGAGGAGACAGGGAGAATAGCGCTCGTTTTAATGGGAAATTCAGCTGTCCAGGTCTTCAGCTTCTAGAACCACCAGCCATGGCTCATTTCCTCCTCTTTAGTCTCTGCCATGTGGTTCTGCTTGCTGGACGTGCCTTGTCCTACTAGGTGACCTGTATGTGGACATGGAAACGTGTAAATAAGACGGGCATGAAGACAGTGACCAAAGAATGTCATTCCTTAAAAGCAGATGGTTATAATCTGGGCTTTATAGATTTCAAGGGGACAACGACCCTGCAATTTTATGCGAAGTTATTGGGACATATTTACATATCCATTTCTCTGTAAAGATGGTCTATACTGTTTATGTGGGTCTTAAAAAATGATTAAAAACTAAAATAATATTAAGGGATTCCAGATCATCCATAGGTGTTACCCACCAGCAAGGCACAAAGGGATCTAAAGAAATGGGTGGGAATTCCAGACCCTCCACCACCCTGCCTTGTTTCTCAGCATCTGAAGGCACAAGGAGATTTGCAAGACTCGCTGATTCACCAGAACCCTGTGGCTTACCCCATAGTCCTGTGCCTGGGTGCACTCTCCAACTGCACTAAAATTTCTCGAGTGTAGGTCTATACTACTCAACTTGAAGTTGTCAGTCAGTTTGTCTTTTTAAGACAACTTGCTGCCACTATTTTTGTGTGTGGGTGGGTATTTGTATATATCGCTTTATGTAATAGTTATGGTCCTAAAGAAGGGGGTGAACTGAATCTTTCAAATAAAAAGAGTACTTTTGAATGCATGGAAGGAAGAGTTGCTCCGAGGTAAATCCAAGCACCAGGCATCCTCCTCTTTCTTCCCTGATCATTTTTTCTGCTTTGTGTCTTTGGATTTTGATATACTGGCTTTGCTTACAGGGATGCACAGCAGAACGAGTTTTTCCAACAACGAATGAACACCGTTGTGTTTTCAGAATGTCTGCATGGTTTCAATTTCAAGAAGAAAACAAATCCCTAGTTCTTACAGAGGTTGTCAAATAAACTTGTTCCAGTTGTTTGAAGCTTGCAGACAACCACATTATATGTACCAATGGGGACTTAATAGCCTATAGGCCATTCTAGAAATGGATCCTCCATACACCCTGTACTCTAGACTAGCTGCTATGCCCTAGTGTCCACAGTGCCTTTCCCCGCCCCCTGTAGTGAGTGAGTGGTCAGAGGCACTGATGGTGCTAGGCTCTGCCGGCCCTTGATATCTTGCACGGCACAGAATGACAGATGTGGGGGATGATGGTGGAAGTTGGGACATGACGTGGGCACTTGTGTGCAGAAGCCTTGAGACAGCCTCGGAGGCTGTGTGCTGCTCATGGACCATACTGGAGAGAAGCCTGTGTGCAAAAGTCACATCATTGTGACAACTGCTTTATATGACCATTATATTCATTATTATAATGTTCATATTATGTTAACTGTATTCAACTTACTATACAGTAAGGGTGCCTTTGGGTTAGCATAATTTTGGTACAGGAAATATTTTAACTGCATGGTTGAGTTTTATCTCTCAGTTTCCCCCAGGGAACTCTGCCAATATGTTCTCAGAAGCTTAAAAATTTTGGGGGGTGACTGTGGCACTGAGAATAGGCCTTCTTCCCATTTCACAGATGGAAACGTGAAGATGCCTTGCATGAGACCTGCATATTAAGGTCCATTCAAAAGGACTGGTCTCCTGGTCCCTGACAGCATCCTGAGCATTTGAAGGAGGGAGCTGGCTTGGGAAGTGCCTCCTTCTTTCCTGAAGAGGAAAGGACAAGATCATTTTGAATCCAACTGAGTTTAGAGCTGCTTATTCTCTCGCAACAAAGGCCCCTATTTCCTTTCTGATGAATGTGCCCAAAGAAGGCATTTTCCTTTGTTTGATTTTGTGTGTGCTCTTGGGAGCAGGGTTTTTTTTTTTTTTTTTGCTGTTTTCAGAAGACCCATGACATTCTTCAGGTGAGACAGCAGATGAGTCTTCGTCCCTAAGGCATGTGTGTGTGTACATGCATGTGTATATGTGTGATGTGTACATGCATGTGCATATGTGTGTATGCACGTGCGTGTGTACATGCGTGTGCATGCACGCGTACATGTGTGTGCATGCATGTGTATGTGTACATGCATGTGTGTATGTGTACGTGTGTATGCACACGCACACTGCACACGAAGAACTAGGTGGTGTAGAGCCTAAGTCCCTGTTCATCTGATATGCATATGCAGGGCGCTTCTTTCTTTCCTAATTAATGAGAAGTAATAGCTTTCTATAGTTTCTGGTACGTGAGGGAGTGAAGTGGGAAATAATTTAATTGGCTGTCTTGCTTTCAAAGCCCAGTTTAATGAAATAGTTCTCAGCCTGAAGTGCATTTATTATCTTTCCTGTTATTTTTCCAATTAACATTTCACTGGATCGTGTCTGTGTGGAATATTCTAATTGGTTTGGGGGTGGGGTGAGGGGACAAGAGCAGATGGAGAGATAGCCAGCTGTTTCTCCTGTCACCAGAGCCCGTGTATGTGTGGATGAGGCTGTAGGCTCTCCCTAGTGCCTTTCCTTGGAAGAGATCAAACAACACGACAGAATGCTGCTTGTCACCTCACCCGTCCTTACCAAGTCCTCGGGCCAGAAAGGCGTCTTACCCTCACAGGCAGACTAAGGGAGCACTTGCTAAACTTCTGGGGTTACTTGTGATGTATGGCACCAAAGGAGAGGATGACTGGTGCCCAGAGCTTCCTGTGAGCATCGTCTCCCTCTGGGCAGGGGCTCTGTTTAGTCTGGCACATAGGAGATGCTCCGTTTAAACACTTGCTGGGGGAATGAGTATCCTGAGGGATCTCACGGTAGCCACCCCCACCCTCCCTTCCTGTGAAGAAAGCAGCATGTAGACGGTGGCACAGAGAAGGGCTGGGAGCAGGGTGAGGGAAGCTAGGCATCCAGGGCAGACACCGCGGGGCGTTCGTGCTCAGCAAGTGCAGAGTTGCTCTTTGCACAAAACTGCATCAAGGGCCTTCTGAAATTTTTGCACCCTGGTTGGTTCACCTTCATCCTGAGCCTGGCCTGAGGCAAAGTATTCTGTCCTCCTTCCTGTCTCCTCCCTGTTGCCAGAGACATGGGGCATCAGCCGGCCTGAGACCGGCCCCCCATGCAGCCATCTTGCTGTTTGAATGCTTCACATGCACTGTCAGAGCCCCCCATAGTCCCCAGGGATGTCCGAGGGCAGCTGGGCCACTGCTCTGGTCTCCCCTCAGTGCTGTAATGCTATAGCATCTATTTTCCCTTCTCTCGGCATTTCTGACCCACACTCAGCAGCTTTAAGGACTGAGCCACATGTTCTGGGTTAGCTAAGGACCCCTGGGAGCCTGGAGGCAGAGGAGAGGCTCCTGCGTGTGGCCATGTGGCCCGCTGCCCAGAGGCCTGGCTTCATATTTATCCCGGTGAAAAGAGCGGGTGGTTTCTCCTCTGGACCACTCCCCAGTTGGGCCAGATTACCTCTCTCCTCAGAGGGCGCATGGTGCTGGGCTCGGCTGGGGAGGGGTGCAGCGGGGTATGTGGGGCCAGGGGGCCTTGGGAAGCAGTCCTGAGGCAAGCTGCGTGGCTGGTCCAGGTGAGGCCATGTGGAATGGGGCCACAGCAGGCAGGGTGGGCAGAGAAAGGGGCCATAACCACATATGCCTGCCAGGTGGTGGGACAGCCTGGGGAGTGGAACATTTGAAGAAACATATCCTTTTATTTGCATACTCAGAGCCAGATCTGTAAGGCGACCTCCAAACTGTGGTGTCCTAGCCAAGATCTGGGGCATCAGAAACTGTGTAGAGACAGGACAGTGGGAGATCCCCACCCCCAACACTATATATATATATTTTCCCCTCTGTATTAGTGGAAACCCACAAAAAGGTGTGTGTGTGTGTGTAAAATTATTATTATCACCATTTTTTGCCTCTGTATCTCTTGCCTGAGCTCACAACAGGAAAAGGACCCCTGCCCCTGGCTGGCTTCTCTAGGTGGCTTAAACCAGGCAAAGTGTGCTGGGATTTCAAGTTTGGCCCAGATCTGATGTTCAGCCTCCTTTCCTTTCCAAAGGCTTCTTGGAGCTGCAGCTACAAATTCTGCCCAGAGCTGCTTCCTACAGGGCTACGTAGTGGTCTCCTTTCTTTTCCTGACTGCCAGTATCTAGGCCTTTCCAGCAAGGTGTCTGGGGGCAAGGGGAGGCATGGGGAGCTCAAAGCCCACCACCCACCACTGAGGCCAGGCTTACTTGGTGGGCAGAGTGGGTTTCCCTGAAATGGTTTTGGGCTTCCCAGTAGATGGAACTTGAAATCGTGCAATTAGCTCTGGGCCCTGTGATTCTACCAATGTGACAATACCTTACAACAGGCAGCATGTTAGACATTTTGGGAGTGTTTCCAGACATCATCCCCCTGTGTCTTCCTGACTGTGATATTGGCTGGGTTGTATTAGTGGCTCAGTTAACAGAAGAGGAAATGGAAGCCCATGTGAATTAAATGATTTGCTCAAGGTCTAGTTCACCAGCTGGATCGCAAATCATGCCGAAGTCCTGGGCCCTGGCCTCCAACCTCAGAGCACCCCAAAGGGCCTCCCTTCCAATGAGGAATAGGAGAGAAATCACCTGAAGGCACAGAGCCTGGGACAGCTGAACCCAGACTCTTCTGGAGAGCTAATTCTGTCTTAAAGTGCATCCAGGGATCAATCAAAAAGGATCAATTTCTGCATTCCTGCAAAGACACCCTCTCCTACTTAGTCAGCCCTGCTCAAGGAACAGCAGTGGCTGGACAAACAGAGAAAAAATGCTTGCATTGAATGAAGGAGAGAATGTTCCATGAGAATGGAGTGCAGGTATGCAACCAGAAGACTGAAGCTCAACTCCTCCATGCACTACTAATATTAGGGTGACCTTGGACAGGTCACTTGACCTTTCTCCTCAAATCCTTCATCTGTAAAATAGGGACATAGGGCAGCTCTCACTGGATGGTTGAGACAAAATGACAGAATCTGTGTCTGTGCTGTGTACAGTGTAACATACTAATCAGAGGGGAGTCGTTGCTGTTAATAATAAGAAGAATAGAAAGATTAGGCCAATACTAAGATTTCCTCTCTTCAACGGAGCTCTTTTTACTCTATGTAAAGGACAGGAAAAACCCTTTGTGAACTATAAAGCACGGTATGCCTGGAAGGAATCGTTAGCAGGACTGAGGTTAGCAGTAGGATGCATCGTGGGAGGGAGCACGGCCCTGGCCCTCAGCTCCCCAGACATATTCCTGTAAAACTGTTTGAGGATGGCCAAATAACCTTGTCTGTCCTCTGGCCACTGAGCTGGCAAGTCTCCTGCAGGCCTTCTAGAGGCAGATGTCCTACCCGGGAAACTGGAACCAGATGTACTCAAGATCTCAAAAGAAATTAATGGCAATAAGACTCTGGGGTAAAAATATCTGTGTGCACTGAGCTTGCTCACTCAGCTCCCTTTCTATCTGAGGATCATTTAGGCTTAATTATAGAGTTCAGGCGTTCATTGGGTTTTTGATTAATTTTCTTTTCAGCTTGAGGAGTGTGTGAGTGTTTGTGTGTGTGTGTGTGTGTGTGTGTGTGTGTGTGTGTGTGTGTGTATGTGTTTACATCTTTCTTTGAAACGCAGTTGGGAGCTGGCTCTGGCAATGTCTAATTGTGCCCTCAGTTCTAACAAGAACGTTCGATGTGCCAACCAGAACTCCAAAAGCCGTTGTTTGCACTGCCTCCACCCCAGGGGCTGCTCCTGCCACATCGAGGGATGGTGGCTGGCAGGGTCTCGCTCAGCTGGGACCTCAGCTGCGGAATGCCTGCTTTCCTCCTCCTTTTGTGCTTATGGGTTGTTGAAGGGGCTCTGAGACCAGGAGAGCCGACTTCCTCCTCTACTAATGACCGGGGCTGTGCTGAGAGCTGCCAGATGACCGCAGCTCCCCCACCCTGCAGCCTCTGACAGGCATTCTTGGGGGGGCCAGTCTCCCTGAGGATTACAAGGTTCTCTGCCTAAGAAAACAGTGTTCGTCCTCTTATTTTTAATATGTCCACTCAGTAGTTGGTAGGGACTACATGGCCGCGGAGGGGAAAGTGGCATGCTTTGTCCCTTCCTTCTCTTTGGGTGCCCTCCAGGCAGGGAACGCGTGGGGAGGCCGCATAGTGCAGTGTCCTAGCATGGGATTTGGAGCCAAATGGCCCAGTTTGAATCCTAGCTCCTGACATTTCCTGTTTGTGAGCCCTTGGATAAGTCACTTAACCTCTCTGGATCTCAATTTATGGTCTGTAAAATGGAGACAATAATGTCAACAACAAAATTACACTTCCTGCAAGACTGTCTGGGGATGAGAAGAGGCATGTAGAAGCCTTTGGTAAAATACTCTATAAGTCACAGTTCTCTTATTTTAGTGCTCCGAATTGCTGCTCAGAACGTGATTTTGCCCTATGCCCTTATTCCTAGCATGAGGAGACAGGGTTGTACAAAAGCCCAGGGAACGGGAGGTGGAGAGAGGACTAGCCTCCAAACCTTCCCATGGGCTGTGGACCAAAGCACTGACCTGGGAATATAAAGTCCATGCTACCAAGGGCCCAGATTAAGAGTTCAAGCTCAAACAACTGTCATGGGTAAGAGGGAGTCTGGAATATTCATTTTTTTGACATAACAGTAACAAAGATTTCACCCTATTTTTAAAAGAGGGAATTCAATTGCGTCTAGTGCTGGGAAGGTGAATGGTTCAGGGCTAGACACGGGAGAGGACAGTGGGTCTCAGGTAAGTGTGCCCATGCTGTGCTTTGAGATCTGGGAGACCCAGGCTCTTTTCTTGGCTCTGTTGCTAATTAGGTCTGTGACCCTGAATAGACGAACTAATTTAACTGGACCTCAATTTCCTTGAGATTGCGGAAGAAAAGATCTCAAAGGTGACTACATTTAAGATCTATTACCTGACAAAATGCTCTTTCCCACAAGGAATTAAACGGTCTTGTGCCACCAGAAACCACTGCATTATGTGTGTTTAGAATTAAGTATAGTCCTAAGACCACCCAACTAAAACCCGATCAAGGCACTGAATGAGCCTCTCTAAACTGATGGCCTCTGGCATCAGACCCCAGGGGCTCTTGGGGGAAGAAAAGCCTGGTGGGAGGATGGGGTGACCCCAATAGAGATTTCAAGGTGAATTCTCTCTTGCTGGAGAGCCTTTCATTTGGCAATATCCTGACTAAGCTGAAAGGTAACGATCTAAGGATCACAGAAAGAAAAGGGATTGTTTCCTTGCAAAACCACTTTAACTTTAAAATAATCAGCTATGGGGTGATGGAGCATTCTTCCCGGCTCATTCCAGAACCAAGAGACCCAACTGCACAGCTCGCAACAGTATCACCAACAATAATCATAATGTATATTTGCCCAAGGGCTTTTAACTTTATAAGCACTTTCCTCTCTATTTTTCTCATTTTGTTATTACATAATTTTCCACAAAACTGGCCAGGTCATTTCTTTTGAAACTCCGAAAAGTGCGACTTTTCAGCAGGAACAAATCTAGCTATGTATGCTGCCCCTTGCTTTTTACAGATATGCCCTTGAAGAAGTTATGTTATACGTAAATGTGATTGTGGAAGTCATATCTTGGGCATGAAGAATTTAAAAACAGAAATCTTGTACAGGATTTTGTAATTCAATGATCATTTCTCATTAATCAGTGGTTTGTTGCAATTTTGGATTTTTAAATATCAGGTTTTCTTAGGATAGGGCCACGTGGGTTAGATTCCAGGATTGGTGTCCTGGCATCCCATCTAATTCAATCAGAGGGAGAGTTTGTTGTTTCAGATATCAGAATGGAAAATAGGCAGGTTTATTTCAGCCATGGAGCTCTTTGGAGCTCCCATAAAAAACAAGGAAGCATGGGAAGGACAGTGGAATCCAAATGTAACGGCTAAATTATTTTTAAATGGAATGTCTCTAGGTCTTCTGTGAGTCACTGATGTGTCATTAATGTGCTATTATAAATAGCTCAGTTTGCCATCAATAACTAATCTATAAGAGAGTAGCTGGTGGTTGGGTGTGAGGTTAACATTACATGATTTCAAGTGGATCTGTTAACCCTCTCTTGTAAATAAGCACCATCCCCTGGGACTAGAACCTGAAAGAAATTAGACTTAATTGCATTTTAAATAAAAGTAATAAAAAAGTCCTCCTGCTTTTTCTTCTCCACTCTCAGACTGTGGTAGAAGACATCATTGAAGCCAACCATAGGACTGTAATAATTACTCTGAATGTCAACTCTTTCACCTCTGAAATTAGGCTGCCAGTGTCCATCCACAAAATCTACAATGACATTGTGACAGTTTTAAAATTATTTTGCTTGGGGGATTTTGAATGAAGAAACCGTGTGTGTGTGTGTGTGTGTGTGTGTGTGTGTGTGTGTGTGTGTGTGTGTCACAATTTGCATGATTGAGAATAAAAGGAAAGGCTCTTTTCTGGGTGATGTAAGCTAGAAGAGCTGGAAAAGTCCTTATTGTAAAGACTGGAAACTCTCTAAAACGTTTGATATTGGCCTGACTAAAGGAAATGGTCTCTCATCCTTGATGGTGGGATCTCAGCCATATGGTCTTGCACAATGTGAGCAGCTCAGATTTTCTTTAAAGAGCTCCGAAGTTAAGCATTATGAGGCACTTCCTCACAAGTGCTCATGCAGTTAAAGTTGAGCTTCTGTGAAATCAAGCTCAAGTAAGCATATATAAAGTGTATGTACTGGGCTACAAGGACATATGTAGGGACTGCTGGCACATGTGTTGGTCATGCTATCAGCATCCTGGTATGTATGCTTGCATGTGTGCATGTATGTACATGTGTGCATTCTGTATGTTGACATCCTTCAGAAGCTAAAAAGACCCCAAAAGAATGAAAATAGTATTCTTATTTGTTAAAATGTTCTCGAAATCCTACATGGATTCCATGGTTTATAAACAATTACGTTTTTGTAAATTTAGGGCTGGTAACAGGAACAGGATAAGCAGCTGTAAACAAAATCACAATTAATGTTTCACCAAAAAACATGGTGAAGTCCCCAAATATCATAGCTTCTGCAGAATACAGGAACTGTCTATCCAAATACTGTGATTAAGGATACACAGAACAATCAGATTTTGGAAAGAGGTGGGTAGATGGAACCATTGAGGCACCATCTGTCTGTTCACATCAGAACCCTGGACAGTTCCCAGGAGGCTCCCCTTCAGAATGGAGTGAATATCAATATATCTCTAGTTCTCTAAATGTACCTTTCATTCCACTGAATATGTTGAAGATCTGATTGTCTACTAATAAATTCATAGGTATTAATTTGTAGTAATAACTTATTTCTCCTTCTCCCCATTCTTTTTACCACCCAACTTCCATTCCACCCCCTTCCCCGAGCACCCTCCAGTCAGACAGTGGGACTTTCTGTCTTACAAACACCTGGTGTGGATGTTTTCACTCCCACTTCTAATTGGTTGGGAAGCAGCATTTGCCACAGGCACTGTTTAATTTTGTTTCCATCCCCTGCATCTCACAGGAAAGAAATGGTCAGTAGTTCAGATAAAAGAATCATCCTGGTCAGCTCCAAAATATGGCTACTTGCATGGTAATCACAGCAAGTCTGTCAAATCAGTGATTTCTTTATTCCTAAAAGGAAGGGACTTTTCCTAAGGATTATGGTTCTACCACCCAAGAAGCAGCCCTACTCTTCATAAGTGGCTGCAAATGCTGGCAAACCAAGTGGTCTGCTTTGGCTCAGAAACTCAGTTTGGCTCCTGCCACCCCTGGCAGCCTCACTGCATGTCATAGCGTCATGTGCTCCACACACAGGCCAGTCTGCTTCTACTTAGGAGGGATCACAACCAGAGGTGGTCCTCGCTTGGGCCTCCACATGAGAACCTGGGCATCGTTGGCATTGGGTTTCACTAGTGCATTGGGGGGGATGGGTTCCATCCGGCTCAGGATCCGGGGCTGCTCCTGCTGAGTCCTGCCCACCAGCCGGGCCCGTTGCCCCAAGAGCTGAAGAGGGTCCACCTCAATGTCCACTCTCATCCTCCACTTGATGGTCTGTAGAATGATCTTCTCCTTCGTGGTGGTATTCATGGCCACCAGCCAGGTAGTGAAACTTTGGTCCCTCTTGATCCTTGTGAGCAGTGGCACATTGCTGTCACTCACTGGCACTGCCCACGTCACACTTGGGTAGAAGTTGTCATTCATGCTGACGGAGAACCTGGAGATCTTGTTGGTGGGACCAACCAGGGTCACAGTTTCTGTGGTGTTCCCGTACCAAGGGTAGCTCACCCCATCTGAATCACTGATGGCTTTTACTCTCCCTTCCCTCAAGTCAGGTAGTTCCCAGCTTGACCTGGCAAAGCAGAAGAGATGCACAAGAAAAGAAGAGGCTGAATGAATTTTTCAAAAGCTGGAGAGGTGCCCACCACTTACTAACACCGTCAACTTGGGCAAAATGAGAAGTTCAGAGGGGAATTCATGTCAGAATTCTATGAATTCAGGTCAAGGTTCTATGCTGTGCTGCTTCAGGATTAAATAGGGACAAATCAAAACAACACAAAGATTAAAAAGCAATACCAAAACAAGTTAAATAAAATCACAGCTGGTCCAACTGGAAACAGGATGCTCTGAGAGGCATTTGTGAGCCCCACAGAGGCATCAACTAGTTGGGATGGTGAATTGTAATCAGCTGGTTAGAGGCATTCCATTTCAAGAACCACTTTCTTGGGAAGTATGAGTGTATGTAAGGTTTGTTTGTTGGGAAGAGGTGGTGACAATTTGATGTACTTAGAGGGAAGTATCAGGTGTAAAGAGGGCAAAAGGAGGCAAACTTTCCCAGGAAATCACAGTGGTAGAATTTCTACTCAACAAAGAAGGTTGCTTAAATTCCAGTCATTGGCCAATCTAGCACTTGGCAAACAGACGTAGAAACTGATAACACAAGGAGATCATGGTCACCTTGGGAACCACCTTAATGCAAATGTTGTGCTGTAGGCTGGCATACGTAGTCTCTAATGTGCTGTTCTCCCACTGACTTCAGGCCCAGCCTCGAAGTCCCATTGCTTAGTTTAGTAAACCTGCCATTCTGGACACTTTGCTATTCCTCCTGGCTGCACCTGACTTTAGCCCATGTCTTAGCCCATGTCTCTCCCCTCTGCTCACCACTAACACCACCACCACCACCACCACCATCACCATCATCATCATCATAGCTGTTACTTATTGAGCACTTGCTCTATTCCAGCAACTGTCCTAAGTACTTTAACTATGTTATCTCAGTTAACGTTCAAAATATTCCACAAGATAAATGAATTTCTATTTCCATTTTACACATGAGAGGGTGGAGGTTTAAAGATGTTAAGGTCCACACCAAGGGTTCTACAGTTTGTAAGAGGTGGAATTGGGAATTATCTGCCTCCAGAGTCTATGCTTTTGACGACTATACTTTACTACCTCCTGGTTCTGGAGAAAGCCAGAACGGAGGAGACTCAGGCTGTCTGTGTGATTGCAGCTCCCAGAACAGCCACAGAGAGCTGGACTGAACCCAAATAGAAGCAGAAGTTTAGTCAGCAGAGCCTGGCCGTGCATTCTCCATATATCCACTGCTGGGACTGGGAATGATTCTCAGTGACAGTGCAGAAGAATTTAATAATTAAAAAAAAATGAGATGCTCCACTCATCAGCTAAGACATGGTATCCTTGTTTGATATAAAGTTCTTCCTCTTATGAAGTGACAGAAGATCCTACAGGGCTTTATACGAATGGCTTAAGAGAGGGTTGCATTGTCAGGTTGATGCTAAAATGTCTCAGCATCCTTTACCGTCACACGGGGACATGGAGACACTAATTGCTGCCCCTGGCTGGCCCCCACAGCACCCCCTGTGCTAGTCAGCCCCAGTCTGAAAAGAAGGGAAGGCCAGGCTGCCTGGGGAGGAGGTGGTCCCACAGCTGCTCGAACCTTTCTCTTGTCTCCATGCCCCTGGTAACTGCTGGGCATAACTGCAGTGTATCATGATTGGCAGAGATGAAGAAGAGGAAATGCCCTCACGTAGAAAGTCAGTGAGAGCCCATTTTGCTGCACATGCTCATTGTAGCTGCGCCGATGAGTAGCTCTCCACGATAATGCTACAGCCCCCCAATAATGCTACAGCCATTCCTTACTGTACAGAGGGGCATAAATGTTGTTTGAGTGGGATATAATCATATACGCATCAGAGGTCAGGTGAGACCCAATCTGCTAGTTGGGTTTATGAAACAGACACACTGGAGTCAGCTTCTTGCCCCCAGCCAAAGTGTGGAGACAATTACTAAGTCACCAGGCATTTACTTTCTGTGTCGCCTCAGCTCTGTTCTCCATTTAGGTTATAGTGACCAGGCCTGCTTTGGGGTCTTTCTTTTCCTTTGTGGGACGGGAGGACAAGCATTCTCAGCAGTATAAAATTGTACCTGTTCTCCTGTCTAAGACACTGTGCCAACTGTGGCACATTGGTTGGGGAATTTTTCATTCTGGTTGATTCTTGGTTTTTGATTCTGTTGTAACACTGTCCTTTTCAGGACTGGCTATCTTGCTGGTCGATTAAGATATGTTGTCTATAGTCTTCACAGTTCATATTTTTGCCCCCACCTTCCTGCCTAGAGGTATGTGAGCAGACTTAAGCCCAAGGTTCTAGAGGTCAGTCATGTGAGAAATTTACAAAGCTTAGTTTGGTCCCAGATTTTCTGCAAACAGAGATAATACGATAAAGTTGCACTCTTTTGCCTGTCTTGGGAGAGAAGGAAGATACCCTTTTCTTGTAGGATTCTGTGGAATAGAGAAATAAAACAAGCTTCTTAATCATCACATCAAAGCAAAGGCACCTGGCTGAGTGTAGTGAATGGGCGTGGTGACCTTGGGAAGCGGTGTACTCAGTCCATCCACATTGCTGCGACTTCTGACACTGCTCTATTGGAAATCCTTTGGGTCTTAGGCATGGTCTCCTCCACAGCCCCAGGGACTGAAGGACTCCATCATTAAGGGAAGGTTTGATTTTGGGTAGCCCAAAATTCATTATGACATAAGTCTAGTGAATAGGTTTCTTTTTCAAAAATATCATATTTTTATTCATTTTATTTTATTTTATTTTTTTGCATTCTAAGGTAGTGGCAATTTTTCTTTTCCCCCAGAAAGAGTTATGCCTATACAACGCATGACTGGTTTATGTAGCTGATAAACTGGCTTTGGTAATGGTTTTCTTTTCTTTTTTTTTTTTAAAGAGTATTTATTTATTTATTTGACACACAGAGAGAGACAGAGAGAGCACAAGCAGTGGGAGCAGCAGAGGGAGAGGGAGAAGCAGGCTCTCTGCTGTGCAGGGAGCCCAACGCAGGGCTCGATCCCAGGACCCTGGGATCATGACCTGAGCCGAAGGCAGATGCTTAACCACTGATCCATCCAGGTGCCCTGGTAATGGTTTTCAAAGAAGTCCCTGATAAATTCCAAGCGTGATAGTACCCTGGAGTCACTCTCTGACCATTTAAGAGGACTACTTTGAATGGGATGCTGGAGGCACTTCAAATTCCACATGTCCCAAAGTGAACGCACCACCTCCAGCATACACTTGGGCCCTTTCCTCCTTCTCTGCCAGAGGTGACCCACTGCTCACCCAGTCTTCTAGGCCAGAAGTAAGGGTTATCTTTGGCTCTTCCTATGCCCTCCCCTAGACTGTTTGAGGTATTGCATCACTGAGTCTTATGAATTTTGCTCCATAAGTGATGCTTGAATTTATCTCCTTTTCTCCATCCAGCTGTCCCTGCCCTCATTTAAATCCAAGCCCTTAGCATCTCCCACCTGGTCTACAGGGAATGGTCCATAACTGCCCTCTCTGCATCCAATCCTGATCCCTTTCAAATTGATCTTTTAGCTGCACTGGTGTTCAAACACACAGACATGATTCTGTCCTTTTTACACCTAACACCCTTCAAAAGCATCATTGGCATCACCCACATGATGGGATTCAAGTTCCTTAATATACGGCCCTCCATGGTCTGGCCTCCCTACCTCCACACACCATGCTGTTTTAACCTCTTCCTTTTTGCTCATGCCATGTCCGATGCCTAAAGCACTCTTTCCCCTGCTACAGTCTCACTGGATCTAATCACTCATCCTTTGAGAATCATTACATACATCACCTCCTTCAGAAAGCCTTCTTTTCCATGCTCCCATGGATATATCCAGCTCTTTACAGCTCTCAGGTTATATTATAATTATTTATGTGTCTGTTTTCCCCATTAGATTATGATTTCCTTGAGGCTTGGGATTGTGACATTTTTGAATCATTAGTATCTCACACATTGTTGACAGATAGTAGATCTTAATACATTTTTGTTGAAGGAATAAATATTTTATTTGAATCACTTTCATGCCTGTATACCTGGAGCTTGGTAGAACTTGTATACAACAAAGTGCTTTATCACAGTTTTACCTTTTATATATTCCCTCACCTTTAAAAAAAGACTAACATCTACTATTCATGTATTCTATTATGAGAATAGCACCGTGCTTAACACTGAAAGTTATTTATCCTTGATGGGGAGGCAGACAAGCCACACACAAATAAAAATGAATGAACTGGTGAATATAAACGTATTTAGTGACTGTTCATGCCATTATATACCTACATACAAAAGTGAATGACACAGACTCGGAGTGATACAGGATGTTGGAGACATGGACATCCATGCTGGCTATAGGGGGAGAGCTTTGTGGAGGAAATGGGATATGAGCTGTGGAGAACAAAGAAAGGCACACCCTAGTCGGAGGTTCCACCATGGGCAAACATGTGGCCTTAAGCATGAACATGGGGTGTCCAGGAAAGAGAGGGCACCTGGGAAATAGAGACTAGGCTGGGTGGGCAGGGCAGAGTCAGTCTGTGAAGTAGCCTTTAATAATGGGCTTAGGCACTGGCTTTCATTCCAGGGGTGGTGGGACTTTTGAGCAGGAGATGATGTGCCAGGAAGAAGGGTGATGTAAGAAGGAGAATTAGAGGGACAATGGGAGGGAACCTGCGATGTTCAGGAGCTTTTGCAACACTGTAGGTGATCTTTAATGAGGCTTCCAGCTAGGCTGGAAGGAACGGAGGGGAGGGGCTACGTATGAGAGATGCTGCACAAGTAGGTAGTCTCTGGCTCGGTAACTGATTGCCTCTCAGAGACAAAAAGAAGGGATAAAGTAAAACAACCAGAAGAGCCACACACAGTTGACTGGTGTGTGTAAAATCATTCTCAGAAGTAACAAGGTGTGGTCTCACTGCCTCTGACATTCCACATATGTCCCTGGACCCACCCACAGTGGTATTTCAGGGTGCAAAGCCCTGA